ATATAATATACACATACAATTCATAATATATTCTCTTCATTTCTCTGTTGCATTGCTCTTTATATTTCTTGGAGGGATTCTTTTCTGTAATTAATTTCAGTGGTTGACCAACTTATCATGTCATTGCATTCTGCTCTCTAGAACTTAAAAGATTATGTTCAGTCAAGTGTGACGCCATTGTAAAATAATCACCAGAATAAACCTTCTTTGAATCATTAACACATAAAGACTTAACACTCTAAAGATTTTGGAAGAGACAGGGATTTAGCTCAGTGGCACCATGTTGGGCTTTCAAGTGCAAGGTCCTGAGTTCCATCCCCAGTACCACACACACAAAAAAGATTCTGGAAGAAGTTGATAAATAAGAGAAAATAGTCAAGCAATGTTGCTGGTGACATATTAAGTTAATCAGGGTACTGTGTATTATATTTGTCAAATAGCTTAAACAAACAAAGGGAAGTTAACTATTGTAATCCTGAATTAGATGTCTAGGTAGTATCAAATTGGGAAAGGATGGGAGAGAGGAAGTGATGATCTCATAGAGAAAGTCAAATTTCTCTCTGATGAGGAGGGAAATATTTACATCAAAGCTAAGTTGCTAAGAATGTGCAAAATCATGACCAGTGCTTCTCTCTTCCTCTTAGACTCCTCAATCAGTGTGTAGACAGAGCTGTGGTCCAGGATTTAGAAAAATTCCACAGGAAGGAAGACCTGCCTGCTGCTTTACTTGTGTATTTTGCCCAGAGAGACACATTTCCAATCAGACAGGTAGAAAACATTAAGCTGCACCATGATAATTGCCCCTCCAATACATTTATTTTTTAACCTAGATCACTAAAATAGGTCCATATTCTCATCTGACAGTGCACATTCTACTATGCTTCTCAGAGGCACTGATTCCAGTGGTTGCCTTTCTTTGCCCTGCAAGGCTGAGTCAGATGGCATTAAAACATGAGTCTCAACGGTGAGCCATTCTAAAGACTGTCCAGGCAATGTAAGATGTATAATTACCCTAGCTACCTGAAGGTGCTTTGAAGTTTCCCACCCAATAGTTTCCATAACAAACTATAAGTACATATATTGTTGCTTTTTTATTGGAATATGTTTGCAATGCATTATAACTGTATTCATCTGAGGAATGTACACTCATGAAATAATAAACTACGTAAAATATTGTGGAAATATTCCATTATACAGTGTGCCATGTTCACAGTCTTAAGTATTCAGAGTTAATATAAAGATAGTATTATAACAACTTTTATGTTATGGTACAATAAGAAATACAAAGACAATATTCCAGTGAAAGATATAATCATCTGATATCTCTGAAAGTAATGTCTACACATTTAAATTTATGCAGTTATGAATCAAAACAAAATGCTTTTGTAAAATAAGAAATGTAGGACCAATTTTAAAATACTTCAATGTTAGAAAGTTTAAAGAATAAACATTGTAATTGTTTGAATTCCTGCAAAAGTACTGGGCCATTCCAATTATATCAGCAGGAAGCATCATTTGGTTGTATTCACTTAGCAAAGCTAGTAACTGTTTTCAGTAAAAATAGGTTACCAAAACTTACTTCTCTTCCTTGTGACAGGTTTGAAACATCAAAGTAATTCATAAAATTAAAAAAAAAGAAATAAAGGATTTGGAATGTGTGCTGCCATATTCAGCTGCTTGTCTGTGTCAAGCAGATCTATGGGCAAAAACCAGGAGCACCTGGTGACTATGAAGAGGGATGAGTATTCCAACAGGAGAAACATGAAAGACAATCTGTATAAACAAGTTCATAATCTTGTCCTCTTGCAAAGATTTACCTATAAAATCTAAATAAGAGCCCAGCATGGAGGTGCAGTCTTGTAACTCCAGCTACTTATAGGCTCTGAAGCAGGAAGTTTGCAATTTGAGGCTGGCCTGAGCAAGTTAGCAAGACCCTGTATCAAAATGAAAAACAAAAGAAGCCTGGGATATAGTTTATTGTGAATGCATGGGTTAAATCTCCACCTGAGTGGGAAGAAAAAACCCTTAAGACCCTTAAAATGGGAGTAGGAAAGTTGCTTATTACTTCTATAAATAAATTTTACATTGAACAAAGAAATGACCATTAATAGAGCTGTGCCCCATGACTGCTTTCAAGCTCTATAAAAGCAGACATGAACATTTGCAGCAATGATCATCATACATACTAAGCTCACAACTTATTGTATAACATATTATAAAAAAAGGTTAGGAAATGATACTTTCAGTTGTAAGTGCATGAAGTTTTTAGAAATACATATATTCTTCACTAATTGGATAAAAATATCAGTTACTCTAAAGTGTTGTATACCAGCAATATAGTTGCATACAAAATACAAGTGTTTTCAATTTACAGTTTTCAATATTTTTATGAAAAATTTCCTGGAATAGTCACAGAAAAATAAATACATTACATGAAAAAAGACTTGTTCTTCCATGAATTAAGATCAATTAGTTAAAACACTGAGCTTGTAAAAAGACACATAAATATTTCTCCATCTGAGTATAGATATTGGAAAGCCTTAAATTCAATTGCACTGACTATTGCAAGTGTGTCTACACGTGGATTTTCATGAGGAATAGGCTGTGGTGGTAACAAAGGGGCTGAGAGAAGTCCACAACCCATAGCCTTGATGACATTAACAAATCAGACCATGATGTGACCTCAAACCCCTCTAACATTGAGGGTCCATTTGAAGGACTTTGATATTAGTCACAGCTGAAAGCTTTCTCCCTAGGTTAGGCATGTACTCTGATGGATCTCAAAACTACATGTGAGCCACCGGTACTCATAGCGATATTGCAAGGCTAACCACTTTGTTCAACTGGGAAGAAATGAAAAATTTGTGAAAAAGGAATGCTGAATCTTTGCTTTCTCCTCAGATGCAGATCAAGGTACATGATGCCCAACAGATGAGTACCCGAACAGAGACAGAGATCGCTGTCTCCCCAAGACTGTGGACTTCCTGTCCTTCACAGATTCCCTAGGGATGGCTCTGATTTGCACAGCTCTGTGTTTCTCTGTTCTCACAGCTACAGTTTTGAGGCTCTTTGTGAGACACCAAGACACTCCCATAGTCAAGCCCAGTAACAGGGCTCTCAGCTACACCCTGCTCATCTCCCTCCTGCTGTGCTTTGTCTGTGCCTTGCTCTTCATTGGCCATCCCAACACAGCCACCTGCATCCTCCAGCAAATAACATTTGGACTTGTGTTCCTTGTGGCTGTTTCTACTGTTTCGGCCAAAACCATCACTGTGATTCTGACCTTCATGATTACAAAACCAGGACAATCAATCAGGTGGTTACTGGTGTCAGGAGCCTCTAATTTTGTCATTCCCATCTGCTCCAATTCAAATTATTCTCTGTACAGTCTGGCTGGGAACCTCTCCTCCCTTTGTTGACACAGATGCACACTCTGAACATGGCCACAACATCATCATGTGCAACAAGGGCTCCCTCACTGCCTTCTACTGTGTCCTGGGATACCTGGGCTCCTTGGCCCTGGTGAGCTTCACTGTGGCTTTCCTGGGTAGGAATCTGCCTGACACATTCAATGAAGCCAAGTTCCTGACTTCCAGAATGTTGGTATTCTGCAGTGTGTGGGTCACCTTCTTCCCTGTGTACCACAGCATCAAGGGGAATGTCATGTGGCCATGGAGGTCTTTTCCATCTTGGCTTCCAGTGCAGGATTGCTGGGTTACATCTTTGCTCCTAAATGCTACATTATTTTGTTAAGACCAGATAGAAATTATCTGCATGGGTTCAGGGATAAAGCACATTCTAGCAGAAGGAAAATTTATTAGTTAAAAAAATATGTTCTTCATAAAATATAGAGTGTCTCTAGGCAAATCTGCAGCATTTCTTGTTTCAGGTTTTGGAATAAATCATGGCATTTACTTCAATAATCAAGAGACTCATTTTTTTCTACAATAGTCTTAATGTTACCATTACCTGTAACAATCACCTTTTTACTTTGAATTTTATTTTGGAAATTTTTTGTTTCATAAATTCTGCAATAAATTCTTATAATTTTGCTTAAGACTGATTATATTATATGCTTTTATCTTGTGATCCATTTGTTCTTCTCAATCACTTTTATGAGTTACTCATATTATAACTCCTCTCTGCAAAACATTATATTTCAGAGTTCCCTAATGTATTTCATTATATCTTTTCCTCTGGGATAATTAGTGTGCCTTTAATATGCTGATTCAACTTTATTCTGGTAACTGTGTTTGTATTTCCTTTCCCACACTTGACTACCAATATTTCTGAAGCCCTTTTTTTTGCAGAATTTCCCTCTTGTTTCCTTCAGAATCCTAGGATTGGTTGATCATATGTGATATCAAATGTTCTTTGGTTTGAAATAGCAATGAATTGAATTTTTATGTTAAATTAAGGATAATTTTGCAGCGTTTACAGTAGATTTTCACATCAGTGGTTGGTTAAGTCTATTTATCTTGTTTAAATATCCTTTTATAATGGAAGATGTCTGTCAACAAGTTTATATATTGTTTTGCAATTTTACACGCACACAAAATATTATACACAATAGTTTTTCTCCTCTGATTTATTCCTGAGTTTTTTTATAACTTGTTGTTAATGAAAAAAATTATTTTATCTGCCATATTTGAATTTATTCAATGTTTTATAAAGGAACAGTTATTTGTTGAGTCAAATAACCAAATTATTTGGGTGTACATTTGTGTTTATTGAATCCCTTGGATGTTTAATCCATATGATCTTGCAATCTATCATACATTTATCTTCTTTACTCCTTCTTTGCAGTTTCTTTGTGATTTTCATTACACTGCCAATATGGTGTCTTGTTATAAAGATGACCAGATATGTATTATATATTCATCAGTTCATGGTCAAACTATTTCCTACTTCATAATACATTTTTCAGCCTCCTCCTCCTCCTTCTCCTGCTCTTCCTTCTCCTGCTGTTCTTCCTCCTCCTCCTTCTCCTGCTCCTCCTCCTCCTCCTCTTTTTCCCTCTCCTGCTCCTCTCCCCTCTCCTCCTCCATTTCCTTCTCCTCCTCCTCCTCTTCTTGGTATTCTTCCTGCTCCCATTCCTTCTCCTGCTCTTTGTATTTCTCTTCTTCCTCCTCCTCTTTCTTGTCTGCCTCCTCTTCATTCTCCCGCTCTTCTTCTTGCTCCTCCTGCTCCTCCTTCTCCAGTTCTTTCTCCTGGTCTTGCTCTTCCTCCTCCTCCTTCTCCAGTTCCTTCTCCTGTTCCTCCTCCTCCTCTTGCTCCTCCTGCTCCTCCTCCTGCTTCTCCTTCTGCTCCTCCCCCTCCTCCTCGTCCTCCTCCTTGTCCTCCTCTATTTCTCCCTTGTCCTCCAAATCCAACGTTCTCCTCCTGCCTCCGGGAGGATGCGGTGCTGAAGGGGATCAGCTTGGTCTGGCTGCCTGGGGGCCCATTCGCCCCCGCCAATCAGATCCTGGTTGTCAGAGCTTGGAGTCGCTGTGCTCGGGCATCCTGCAGCCGCAGGTACATCTCCCGCCAGGACTCGTGCTCCTCTGGCTTTTGGCCTTTGAAGTCTCTGTGACAATGAAGTTTCCATAAATGATCTGTCTTTTCAGCCAGCCCCGGATTGCAAGACTGCATGCGACCCAGCTCATGAGGTGGGCACTTCTCCAACACAGGTCGAAGGACACAATCGTGAATGAAGCTCACTTTGTAGATGGTGTCCAGGTTGTCGGAGAGCACCTGGTGAAAGCGTTGATAGAAGGCCATCTTCTGTAGCACAGATGTGCGGGTGGGGGAAGCAGAAGAGATCCGCAACTGGTGGAGAAACAACACAAACTTTATTTTCAAAATAATTAAAAATTATAAAAGATAAATGATAATGGCGAATGTGTAGTGTTTTAATTCTTCTCTCAAGTCTATAATTTCTATTATATGAATAGTAAGTTGATAAGGAGAAGTCTTTTTGTCTTCCCATTTCAAAACACAGACTTTTCCTCTCTCATCTGTTACATTTCTACCTTTTTAAATTTTTTCTTTTGCAGATACTTTGGCACTTCCTTCCTATTCAGTCTCAGTGTCCCACCATTTTGTACTATAAAAGACTTTCACTGATTTCTGGGGAAATATAAAACTTAAATCTAACGTACATATGGTAAGAGTTTTTATAGATTGTAGCACAAAATTATACATTATTTTTCATGAATAAAATCAACACGAATTAGTGAAGGAAAATAACCAGGACTTATTATTATATTTCACTAGAAACGAAAACCAAAGGCAAAAACAACATTCTAAATAAACAAGTATGCAAAAATGCTTCATATAAAACAAATAAACAGACATACAAGTATGTCTCATGCAAAGAAGCATCAATTGGTTGAAATGACATCTGTCAGAGCATCACTCAGGAGAATCAGTAATTAAAAAAATGCACTGCCCTAGTCACGCTAGGGGTAAATTCTTAAGTGCCTAACTAATTTTCTTTTGTTAAACAACCTTTTCTTTTTCAAAAGGTGTCCAAGCAATATAAAGGCACAAAATCTAACACAGATCTCAGAATTTCATCTCATGGGTCTCTCAGAGGATCCAGACCAACAACCCCTTCTCTTAGGGCTCTTCCTGTCCAGGCACCTGGTCATGATGCTTGGAAACCTGCACATCATCCTGGCCATCAGCTCTGACTCCCACCTCCACACCCACATGTATTTCTTCCTCTCCAAGCTATCCTTGGCTGACATCAGTTTCCCCTCTACTACTGTCCCAAAGATGATTGTGGACATTCAAACTCACAACAGAGTCATCTCCTGTCCAGACTGCCTGACACAGATGACTTTCTTTATGCTGTTTGGATGTTTGGATAGTGTGATGGCCTATGACCAATTCGTGGTCATCTGTCATCCCTTATACTACCAAGTCATTATGAACCCTCACTTCTGTGGCTTGTTGCTTTTGATGTCAGTTCTCATCAGCCTTTTGGTCTCCCAAATGCATAATTCAACCATGTTACAATTTACCTAATTTAAGAATGTGGAAATTTCTCATTTCTTTTGAGACCCTTCACAACTCTTCAACCTGTTCTGACACCTTTACCAATAATAGAGTCATGTACTCTGTGGATGCCGTCTCTATTTATTTATTTATTTTTTCATCTCAGGGATCCTTTTCTCTTGCTGTTAAATCATTTCCTCTATTCTAAGAGTCCCATCATTTGGTGGGAAGTATAAAGTCTTCTCCATCTGTGGGTCTCACCTCTCAGAGTTTTGCTTATTTTATGGGGCAGGGCTTGGGGTGTATCTCAGTTCAGCTGTCTCACTTTCTCAGTGGAAATGTGTGGTAGCCTCAGTAGTGTACAGAGTAGTCACCCCCATGCTTAACCCATTCATCTACACCCTAAGAAATAAGACCTCAAGAGAGCCATGTCGAGGCTCCTCAGAAAGACAGTCTGATTATATTTGCAGTGCATGTTGAAAAGATTGGAAAATTCCATGTCATTCATTTCAGCATTTTGTAGCTCTTATGACTTTCATTTATCTTTGTGTTTCACATCTAAATATTGTTGTTTTACCTATCTTTAATGAGAATTTTGGAGCATTCAGTATTCACTACATTTGTAAATTCCTGAATCTTATTATACCTATGGAGCCTTCTGGAGATTATTGTTAATGATTCAGGCACATAGAAATGTAAACATCTCTTGTAAAAATACACTTAATTGGGGGCAAGGTATTTAGCTCAGTGGTTCTGCTGCCTACCTCTCAAGTGCAAGGACCTGAGTTAGATCCCTGGTACCAAAAAAAATACAGTTAATGTAGGTATATTCCTGTAGGAGCTGAATACACCATATTACAGTGCTATGTGCATAGCCATCTTTATAGCAATACAATTCACACTAGATAAATCTTGAATGTGGCCTATCGGTATGTCCAAAACAGACAAATGGATAAAGAAAATGTGGTAATAATGCACAATGGAATGCCATTTTGCTATTAAGATTAGTTTGAGTCATGGAGAACATAATGGTAAGTGAGATAAATCAAACACACAAGTTTAACTATTGCATGGTTTTTCTCATAAGAACAAACCCAAAGTATAAATACAGAGTGAAATAAAATGGAGATGAGAGAGTAGGAAAGTAGATCTTTCTCAAAGTTGAAGGGAATCAAGAAATAGTGAGTAGGAGAGGGGAGGGTAGAGAGGGAATGGGGATAAAAAGGAACAAAATGTGTTACGTCCATGTACAAATTCTATAAAAAGAATGAAAATATTTTGTACTAAAAACCTGTACTAATAAAGAAAATAATCTTGAAAGACAAATAAAATTTACATCGTTTTGGCAGGTATATTCCCAGCATTTTAAATCTTTTATATTGAGACAGAGTCTCACTAAGTTCCCCAGGCTGTCCTTGAACTTGTGATCCTTAAAGTGAGCATTTCTAAGGAACCTTTGATTTTATTGAGAAATTTTTTGATACACTTTTATATACATTCTTTGTACAAGATGTGTTGCTTTTTCTTTTTTGTTTTCAGGCTCCTTTCTGTGTGTTTCGATGTTTTGAGTATAACACGGGTAAATGTACTTGTGTTTGAATTTATCATATTTGAAGTTTATTCAGATTTTTAAATATATATGTCTACTTCTATACATTTGAGAATTTTCAAATTCCATTATGCTTTTAAAATTGGTTCTCTGTTTCCCTCTCTGTCACTCTTGCTCTCTCTTTCTCTCTCTTTCTCTCTTCTCCTTTTGGAACTCCCATAATGAAAAATTTTCAGCTCAATGATATCACACATTTCTGTTAAGACATCTTCACTTTTCTTCATTTCATTTTCCAGTGCTTAATTGATTCAATAATTTTACTTATTCTGTCCTTAATCATGAATTCTTCCTTGTACTTGATGGAGTTTGCTATGAACAGGCTACCAAGTATTTCAATTTTATTCTTCAACTTCAAAATTTCTTTCTTTTTTATAATTTACAGTGCTGATAATATCCTTGTCCTGTTCATGCATCACTTTCTTGATTTTGTTTCCTATCTGTGTTTTCTATCTTGTAGACCATCTTCCACATGGTTATTTTTATTCTCTTTTTGTACTCGGTATCAAAGCCAGGGAGTTTTCACTGAGCTGCATCTTGCTAAATCACTAAGTTGCCCAGGATGGGCATGAACTTGTGATCCTTTTGCTTCAGCCTCCCAGAGTGCTTTGATCCACTTGTTTTCCACTGCACCAAGACCAAGTTGTTTACTTTGAATTTTTATCATATGAGGCATTATTCTCCATTTCTTTAAGATATATTTGAGCAACAGTTGCTGAAGATTTAATTTATTCTTTTGACCATATTTCCCTGTTTCTTTGCATGACTTGTGTTCTTTGTTGAGATTTGGTCATATAAAAACATCTACCTATTTCAGTATTTACATTAAATTCTTGGCTATAATCATAGTATTTATGTCATGTACCTAATATGGAATGACAAGTTTAATAATGCACTTTGTATGATTCAAGCATTGTAAATGTCTCAACACACTCTGCCTTTCATATTTATCTCTAAAACTACTGCCATTGGGTGCCTTCTCAGAGTCTCCTCTGTGACTTATCTGCATTAGTTAAACAGCAGACATTCTCCCATATCCACTTTGATGAGGAGTGCAATAAACTTCTCTTTCAATCAAGTAAAGACGATCTTCAAATTTTGTTTTCTTTAATGCAGTTCTATACTTATGATAAACAGTACAATATTTCAAGAGATTGCTATGCACATACAAACCACTTTATCCCTGTAAAGTAACCAATAAACAGAAGCCTTTAATATTATCATTGTGGTTATTATTATTAGCAGTACTTGGGATTGAATCTAGGGCTTTTACACTGGGCTACATCTCCCAGTATTTTTTACTGCCCAGGATGGGCTCAAACTCATGATCATCTTGCCTCCACTTCCCAGAGGCCTGTGATTATCGGCATTGTAGCACCATACTAGACTAGCAGCAGTCACATTTTATTGAAATATTTAAAAGCCGAGTTCATAAATAAATCTAAAGAAAACATATTCTGGAGCTAGGTGCTTTACTTCTTTGGAAGAAAAGCAGGATCAGAGAGGAGATTTGGGTTTGGAATGGTTGTGAGTTGCATGATTTTGATGGAGGAGCTGTTCTGGTCTAAGAGAAAGATGGGCATCTCATAGCACTGTACCACTAGGAGCAACTCCAGGAGAAGCTGGGTGATGCCTGTAAGCATACCCAGGGTTTTGGAAATT